TTTCTGATCAAGAAGAAAAGACAAATGCCAATTGTACATACATGTATGTACATGTAGTTAGCAGGTTAGGGAATCATTTGTGATTTATATTGTGGTAAGATTACTCTTGAAAACTAGACACATCCTCAAAAAACAAAAAAAAGAAACACAAAAATTACTGCTCTACAGTAAACAGCATTAGTTATTTGGCATATGTAATTATATTTCTTATATTATGTAGGCATAGGATATTGCAGGTACTGTATATGTATGAACAGTGCGTATGTAGTGGGGTAGAGTTCTGTACAGTGTATTTTTTTTGTAAGTTTACCATCATTTTTTTTCTTTCCAAGTTCATATGACAGAAATTAGAAATATATTTTGTTGTTATTTGTTTCTACTTGTTTGTACAGGTGTACACCTCAATTTACTTTCATACACATGTACATGTACAATGTATGCACTCAAAGTCTTGAGGGCTGATGCATAAATTATGTCCATGATCCAAATTAACCCACAAGTTCAATGCAGTTACTTTAATATCATTAAATTTATAGATAATTAACATATTTCACATATTCACAAGAGTTGTTGATCAGATCAAAGAGATGTTACTCCTTGATCAGATCAGAATACGTCACTTTGACGTCATACAGAGTGGGGCTTTCTTTTATATTTTTGGTTTCCATGGCAACTGATAGCCCCTTTTGTCCAGCATGAAGTGGCTCAAAGCAAAGTACATGCTGCAGCGCAATGCAGTTCTGTACTACAGGATGTTGAATTTCAGCATTTTAGAAAAGAAATAGCTAGGACGGCAAATGCATCCTATAGAGTGCAAATACATTTTCATACATTATTTATTATATTGCAAATTTACCAGTCATGTGCATGTGCAACTTGCATTTGCTTTCTTGCAAATATTATTTGATAAAGCTGCTGTACGTATACTATACAGGTCGGATCTGATACAGGTACAAACGTATTTCAAGAAATTATTATTAGTACTGGTATGGTGTATTTTGAGCACCTGAAATTAAGTTTCATGTAGAATTATGAAGAAAATGGTAGGCCTTCCAAAGTATCTGACATGTACATCTCATCTACAGCTGTACGTCATTTAATTATTTAATACATCTTTTAATAATTTAACAGAAATTCTCTTTTTGAAAAGGTTTGTTTTGCAAATCCAGAGGCATTGAATTCATACACTACAAATGTACATGTGATGATGAAGAATTCCTGTATGTAGTTTATTCAAGGGTTCTTTAAAAAAAAAAAAAATCACTTTGGTTGACATATTGCATAATTGTGGGCTTCTGACAAATTCCCCAGATTTGTGCAAGTTTACAGTCTCCTATCTCTTATGTACATAGTTATGATTGATATCATTCGCAAATAAGTTACGATTGATATCAACTCTTTGTAAGACGGGGCCCTGAGCTACATGTATATGTACACAAATTTTTCTAATGCACTCAGAATACTACAATGTAGTAATGTTAGTGGTACAATGTACAGTACCTGTTAGTCAAAATAGTGAAGAGCACATTAAATAATCCAAGGAAAGTAATCTTTAATGTTTCTGATCGATTGTATTACATGTACCTTGCACTACTACAATTATTATTGCCAGAAGTATTTACTTTTACCACAGATATACATGCAGACGCGTACGCAGGGGGGGGGGGGGGGTTAACTCCCCCCCCCCCCCCTCAATTTTTTTTTTAATTGTAAAATTATTTAGCATCTGGCTGAGTCATTGCGAAATTTTTGGGACCCCCACCCCCCAAAAAGTGTGCTCTTACCCCCCCCCCCCCCCCCCCCCCCGATCGATTGTAATACCTTGCACTAGTACAAGGCCTAAAATAAAAACTTGTTGCATTGCCCTTTGGGTGCCAAAACATGGGTCTGTCGGTCGAAAAAAATTTAATTTTTTAAACTTTTTTTTTGTCGCCCTCTCTGGACCGACATTTTTTCAGATTTGAATGTTTTTTGTTTTTTTTCCTTTTTTCCCGCCCTCTTTTGGCTGATATTTCTCAGTTTGTAATGCTTTAATACATGTGTTTCAGCGTCATCATTCCATTGATATCTTGTTCACCTTATAATTATCCATGGTTTGCACGAGTGAGAATTTTGGAATAATTTGATTTTATGCATTTATACCTATTTAAACAAACAAAATACATATTTTTTATTCATTAATATAAAAAAAATCTAAAAAACGAATTTAAAAAAAAGAAGCTTTTTTAAAATGCTGACCATAGATTTTCAGATGTTTGAGTCGGTCGCAAAGGGCAATGCAACAAGTTTTTATTTTAGGCCCAATTATTATTGCCAGAATTATTTACTTCAATCACTTTTACCACAGATATACGTGTACATGTACATGCAGACGCGTACGTTAACATTACTTGTAAGTCACAAACTCACAATAGTTTGATACTGTAAAAGTAATTATTATTTCCATCCCTCTGTGTCTGGTCGATTCTACTTACATTGTAGTGTTATTGGCATCAGTGCTATTGATAGAATGGCCGAGAATTCTTCGCTAAGTTTATAACATACAAATGTACGTACTGTACTATGTACACACTATACACTGTGGTCGTCTGGTTGACCACTTATTAAGTATAATGTAATTTTGGTCAGAATTCATGTACATGTACTTGCATGGCTTATCGAATACTTGTAATCCCTAAACCACACTCCAGAGATGGATTTTTCGATTTTTTTTTTTTTTATCGTGACGAAACACCGGATTGTGAGAAATATCGATGAATTTGCTTGCAGTGCAAATGCCACTACAGTATTAATGCCATTAACAGAGATTGCTCTGGCCGCCCACCCACATCAAGATAATGTAAATACAAGCATTGGCTGACTCTTGTTTGACCGCTTCAATCTGATAAGCATTCAAATGAATAAACAATATTTCCCCTCTGTCATTGAGCTGTTCTCTGCGGCTTTGAAGTGCCATACTACTGAACATGTACCAACTGGTATTTCAAAAAATACACAAACATGTTCATGTACATATGAACACGTTCATTCACATACAAGAAACAACTCAAAATATATATTTTTTCAATGATGCGTTTAATTTTGTTTAATATTTTTAAATATATATCGTTTTGTATCTTACTGTACGTTGTAAGTGTAGAATAAGGTATTGATATTGTTTCGTATTTAAGGTATTATCTTGGATGTACAGTAAAGTGCATTGAGAGTTCTGTCAGTTCTGAAATGCGCTATATAAAAATGTACTGTTATCATCATACATTGCACATATTACAAGTTCAGATGATTTAATATCACATCATGAATTTATGATCTCATTCAATGATTGAATTTCTTGAAACGAATCAAGTAAAGAAATCCTTGGAATTCAGAAATATTTAGTTATTTATTTTATTCATTAGTTTGTCACCAGGGTAAAACAATGGTTGTTCCATAGAGCCTGGAAAATACAATACAATTTCATGTCTATATATATTATATGAATACAGATAAAATTGTATGAAATATTATCAAAGTACTGTACATACATGTAGCATAAATCCTGCAAGTAGTGTGTTAGACCCCGTTCTCACTCACTTTGAAAGTGGTCTTAGTTAGACCGCTCCAGAGGAACGGGTCTTGAGGAACGGTTTGCGAGCGTTCACACTCCGAGCAGTTTTTATGGCTCAAACCGCTCCACGAGTCAAAGTGGTCTTGTTGCTATGGCAGCTCAGGTAGGCGGGTCAATTTTTTCGCGCGCGGAATACAAACCGTATGTACCGTACTACATGTTTCGCACGGAACGTCACTAGCTCACTTCCGCTCAAAGTACGCTTTCCGTTCACATTGCACGTTAGAGCGCTCTGGAGCGCTCTTAATAAGACCCGCTCCTCAAGACCACCTCGGAAGGTGGACTTCTGGAGCGGTCCAGAAGTCCGCTTCCTGGACCACTTTGAGCGTTCTCACTCACCTAAGAACCGCTCCTGAGGAGCGGGTCTTAGTTAGAGCGCTCCAGAGCGCTCCAACGAAGTGAGTGAGAACGGGGTCTTACATGAGCATGTGTAAACAATTTCAAGAAAAGTGAACTGAATTTATGACACAAAATGATTAGTTATTATTATTTATCATAAATACAGAATGCAATTTGTCAAGATGTTTGAGGTCAATTAGAGCACAATTCCATTTATATATAAAAAAAAAAAAAAGGTAAATTAGTTTCTATGCAAACAAAATTCTTGTACTCTGATACTGTTAATATTCATGCACTTTGTTTGATTGTTTTCTAAAACAAACACAGGATAGATCATCGGTACCAGTACATGTACCTGTTCAAAAGATAGACATTGTGAACAAATCTTTAAGTACCTTTTTTCTCTGACCAAATCAAAATTTGAAGATGATACATGTAGTAACATTTTTTGTGGAATAATATATTGGTGACATTTCTTATAAAAAAAAAAATTGAAGAAAAAATAATGCATGCACAAAGCATTTGCACATCTGGACCATGCTTTTCATCCGAGATAGCAGTTCATATATATGCAGCCCCTTCCCTCCCCTGCTCTTCTCTAAGATCAAATGAATGTTATTATTATTATTATTTTATTTATATATTTTGTAATTATTTTGTGATTATTATTATAATTATTGATGTCATTATTCTTATTACAGTGTACCGTATAGTTTTATTCAACTCCAATTGATTCATTAATGCGTTATTGGTAATTCACATACTGTACATTACATGTATAAAACATGGTGTTTTACATGAAAGGCAGCTCAGGATAGACTGGTACATCATGCATCGAATAATAACACATTTTACCAAACAAATGCAATCTTATTAAAAGACACACGTATTTGAACAGACATGAACAAGTAAATTGACTCATTGAGTGCATACACAGGTGAATAAAATAAATTGTAACGAGGCACGTAACAAAGATCTGTGCATTGAGTTTGGTTACAACACTGTACATTACGAAATGGCCAATTATCAGTTTTGTTTTGTTGTATCTTGTCAGAAACCCGTAGCAGCGGGATGTGTTCCTCCTGAGAACCTGGGCCTACCGGAGATCCAGGAACCGCCCATCCCACCTCAGAAGGACAACATCCCACTCTTCTTGAAAGGACTGCCTCCGAGGTTTGTCTTAATTGCACAGTGCACATGTAGTCTGTTCGGAGCCACAAGGACGTTACTCATCTCACTATACGTGTATTCAGGGTTAACGTCCTTCTGGCTCCAAATAAATGATATTTAATGAAAGTAAAAGTAGTCTAGTGGATGTTATAATACCTCAGAGGAATAATAGTTGAGAAAATTATAGTTTAGAGTTTAAATAATTTTAACATCCCACTCTTCTTGAAAGGACTGCCTCCAAGGTTTGTCTTAGACAATGCACATGTCGTTTTTTCGGAGCCGGAAGGGAGTTAAAACTCATCTCACTGTATACAGGGTTAACATCCTTCTGGTTCCAAACAGCCAATATTTAACAGAAAATGACAGTAGTCTAGTAGTAGATATTATGATAGCTCAGATGTATAATAGTTGAGAAAATTATAGTTTAGAGTTATAAGAGTTTACACTGCCTCTGTCTTGCACAATGCACATGTTCGGAGCCAGAAGGGCGTTATTACTCATCTCATTGTAGTTTACATCCTTCTGGCCCCGAACAGACACTATTCAACGGAAATGACAGTATAGTCTAGTGGATGTTATTATAGCTCAGAGGTATAATAGTTGAGAAAATTATAGTTTAGAGTTGTAATAGTTTAGAGATATAATAGTCCGGAGATATGATATGATAAGAGATATGATTGTTTAGAGGTATAAAAGTTTAAAGGTGTAGACCCATTCTGGTCTTGCAATTGCATTGTGAAAGAAACGTGGAATCGATCAGAAATGGTTGATCATCTAGCATATAAGTATTAGCGGTACTGCAAGGTTCTGGAATCATCAAAATGATAAGAAATTTGGCCCAGTCTTGGTGAAGTTACAAGCACTGTACACAAAAAGATGTATATGGGACTAAGCGATATCTATCCAGTCTGGCAAAATTTGTATTAAAGTGTATTAAAGATATAGTCCGGCAAAATTTGTATCATCATGTATTAGTCAAAACATATTCTTTTACATGATTGGTAATAAGAGCTTCCATTTCATTTTTTGAGAGAGGGGCGTTTCAAAAAACTGTATCATCACATACATTAGTCGAAACATATTCTTTTACATGATTGGTAATAAGAGCTTCCATTTCATTTTTTGAGAGAGGGGCGTTTCCCAAGATAGTCTATATCTTTAATACACAGCTTAGATATATAGAAACTGCCCCCCCCCCCCCCAGAAGGATAATGTCCCAGTTTTCTTGGAAGGGGCTACCGCCAAGGTGTGTCTTGCACATTATACACATGAACATGTACATCTCGAAGAAAACAAAAATAGTTTGGTGAACATTATTGCCCCCCCCCCCAATACAATAGATCATTTCTTCTTATTCATCTCAAATGCATGTCACTGTGTATTCAGGGGCATCGCTATCCACTATGCAATTTCTTTTAGGGGGATGTACAAGTAGGATCACAATTTTCCAACAAGGCATCTTTTTTATGAAGGTACATGTACTTGGAACATATTATACAAATTATACACAACAGAAAAATTATTCATGGATTTGTCACACCCTGACACCCCTCTGTCAACGAACCTGTATACAAATAGGTTCGTTGTTGGGATGATTTGTGTGAAAAAACTGTGAATGCAGTCGGCAAAGCAGGAGTGCAATGTTTCAGGACATGGACATGTAGTACTAGAAATGTATATGTTTCAAATGTATGGGAACATGTCATTACAGGTCTTTTATCTGTTGCAAATACACATGCAATTGTTTATTCTCTATAATATCTGCTGTACATTTTTATATGTACCTGTCTTTCCTCTTTCTTGTGTTTGTGTGTTCTCGTTTACCTGGCTATACCAGTTGTTATATTTTTGGTTTAGTATTCCTCCATATGTGTTATTTTGCTGCTTTTTTATCTTTTTATTTTCTCCAACCTTTTTTCATTCTCTCGTTTCTTTTTCATTTCTATACAATATTTTTATATTGTGCTATTTACTTTTCTGTTAAATATGCGTTCAGCTGATCGCTGTTCTAACTTTAAAATTTCTCTCATTCCCCAAATTTCCTCCACCGATGATGTTGCCTGTCATAATTCATAGGCAAGTTTTTATCATTGCTCTTATCCTTTCTTATCCTTTCAGATGGCAGAATTATGTTATCCGTACAGCGGTATCCTTTGCCATGGTGTTTGGGTATGCTCTCATCATCTACGCTGGTCCTGTAGGGCTCACTGGATTGGTAAGCCCCAGCTGTTAGGACCACATCTTTCTAAAGGCGACCCCCCCCCCCCCCCAATTGAAAAAGTCCTTAATTTTGTCTATTTGTTGAGCAATATTGTTTATCATGGTGTTTGGATATGCTCTCATCATCTATGCTGAACCTATATGTCTCAGCTCCGTCCCTCACAGATAAAGTATGGAGGTATCCTCTTTTTTCTTTTGGTTTAGTGGAGAAATACTGTTTGCCTTGGTGCACCCAAACTGATTTTTTTTTAAAATCTGATGGACTTACATGTACTTGATATGTAAATTCCAAATGTTATGTTAAAAACGAAGAAAAAGAAGAAGAAGAAGAAAAAACACTCTTCTTCTGAGCAAGTTGACTTTTTACGTGAAAATGGAACCAGTGTTTATAAAGTAAACATAATTTTTCATGAAGATTATTGTTAGTCTTGCCACATTCCAAAGACACATTCATATAAGTGGGGGTAATTCCATTGTAATCAAGTGACACAAAACATGTTTTTCAACTTTAATCAAATACTGGTTCAACTTCAAGATGATACCTTTATGAAGTTATGATCATGATAATTAACCGCCCCAACAAAGTCATGTAAAGAATTCTTGGACTCTAAAATACTTTAAAACCCCACTGCACTACTTATACATTGTAGCTACTATATGGCAAACAATGCCTAATTGGTACCTGTTGGTCCCCATGATCCTCTGTTTCTTATGTTAATTGAGAGCTGATTTGATGAGATAACCACCTGTCAGTGACCTTACAGGGAGATCTAATCCCCCTGGCCAAACTAGTGCAGACAGGCTTTAAACATGAATTTGCACCTTTCTCATCCAGATCCTACTGATCGAGGTGATGTGCTTCAAAGAGATCATCAGCATCGGACACGCTGTCTATCGTACACAGAACCTGCCCTGGTTCAGGACGCTCAGCTGGTACTTTCTTGCCTGTGCCAACTACTTTGTCTACGGACAGAGTCTCAAGGATTACTTTGGCATCGTGCTAAGAAGAGAGTTGGTAAGTAGAGGGAAATAAGGGAAATAACTTGTTTTAAAGGCAAGAAAGCTTAGCCAAATGTAATTTAGCAAACACACACGTCCGGGACAGCAGTGGTAGCGATGTTGGTAAAATAACCTGCCTTTTAAGAGAAAATCTTGGATATTGAATCCACATGTATGATATGGTGTATGACATTTTCATATCCTTCAGTTTGTGTGCCTATCTTTTAACCATTTTTTTTTCACATCAAAATGGAGATTTTTCTTTATATGGTACTAGGATGCCCCAGTAACACATATTATAAGATGATGACATGGATCCTAATCAAATGATTGGCTGAAAGCGTACACGTGACCAGGCATTTATTTTGCCTGACACGTATTTGGATAATGGCCGGTCATTATCCAATTCTAATGACCGGTCATTAGTAAAATCATTTTATAAAACATCATTTTATAAAACATAATCTTATAAAACAAATAATACACATCATTTTCTTTGAGCATTAGTAAAATTACCCACACTTGGTACCTTCAAAACAGGCCAAACACCCTTGGCTATTGACTTGGGCGTGTTAGACTGTTCTAAAGGTACCATGGTGTGGGTAATTCTTTAAAATGCCCTCACTGCTGTGTATTATTTGTATACTGTATGATTGCCCCCATTGTAAATTGTTTGATCACTGAAAGCTATCATAAATCTTTTAAGCTGAATCATTCTTTTGATATGGACAAAATGTGATATTCTCTTTTTGTTTCCCTTATTTTGCAGCATGTCTTGCAGCCCTTCATTGACTATTACAGATTCCTCTCCTTCTGGCTGTATGTTATTGGTAAGTGACAATAGTTTGAAGGGTTTATTGTCGTTTGGTCTACAACCAGTTCATCTACTACCCAATTGGTCTAATCCCATATGGTCTACACCCAGCCTGTCTACTATCCACGTGGCCTAATGATCACTTTGTCTACTTATCGTTTAGTCTAATGACACTATGCACATGACTGACAAAGAAAGCGGACAAAATATACAGTTCCTCAGGTAGACAAAGGAACATTCCTTCACTGCTATTATGTAAAAACTTGTAGAACTGGCTACCCCCAGGGGGGTGTTTCATAAAGCTGTTCGTAAGTTACGCACGACTTTATGCACGACTGGTGATAAGTTCTTGTGCTACATGTAAATGATTGAGAATCTGATTAGCACCCAAGAACATGTTCCAGTCGTGCGTAAAGTCGTGCGTAACTTACGAACATCTTTATGAAACACCCCCCAGGTGTCACATGCATATTCACTTTTTACATAATAGCAGTGAAGGGATGTTCCTTTATCTACCTGAGGAACTGTATATTTTGTCCACTTTCTTTGTCTGTCATGTTCATAGTGTGACCATTTAGGCTAATAGTCATTGGTCTAATTTCTGGTTGGTCTAATCTTCGATAAGTGTACTACTCATTTGGTCTATTGCTCATTTAGTCAAATTTCAAGTATGTCTAATTTCCATATGGGGTGGCATTCTCATAAGTCTCGGGACTAAGTCCAGACTGAACAAGAATTTTAGTTCACACTTCTATGGAATGCTAGGTTTCATCTTCCTCCTTCAATATTCATGACAAATATAATCTACCAAAGACTTTGTTTAAATTCAGTTCATTCTCATATTATCTTTTTCTTCCCATTTCATTGCAAGATTAATTTTTTGGACACTTTTCATTGAAGGATTAGAATAATCTGTACAGGGTAAATGAGTTGGCAACAGGCACTCCATAGAAGTGTGGACTAAGTTAGTACGCGCTAACTTGGTACGCACTACCGGAATACCACCCATGGTCAAATAAACATGTAATCATAAATAATAAAAATCATCAAATTGGGTAGGAGACAAACTTGTTGTAGACCAAACGACAATTCACTGTTTGAAGGAGCATTCATCCAGGTTGATTGCGTTCTTCTCTACTAACTTAAAATGAGCTCAAATGAGTCTGGTGAATGTCAATGTAGACTAGCCCAACTGCCCCAAAGTCTACCAATGGTAGAGTAACATGTAGTTACATATTAGATCAGGCTCATATCCAATTATTGTCATGGAAACGAGGGAATATTCAATATTATGATGTGTGGAATTTGTTAACTTGTGTGGAGGCTTAGCTATACAGGAGTCGAGCTTAAATTTTGAAAGTTAGCATTTAATCCCAAATAAATATGTTAGTAAGACTCTGACGAACATGTGTGAGTCAATAACTAGAAGGTTGGAAGAAGAGAAAAGTTTTCCTTTGACGATACCTTGAATGTCATTTTCATGAATATGTAAGACATTTACTTTATATGTTGCCATCACAATCAAAATGTTATAAAAGTTGTAGTGTACATGTACATGACTCTTCTTTTCGACTGAAAAGTCTTTGGGATCATAAACATTTATCTCTTTCATTAATTTGTATTAAGATGTGATTGAATTCATGAGAAGTTCTATTGTTTTTTCCTCTCTCTCTCTCTCTCTCTCTCTCTCTCTCTCTCTCTTTCTCCAGGCTTTATGATGTTTGTCCTATCACTCCAGAAGAAACAATACCTTGTGCAATTTACTCTGGTAAGTTTGGTTCATTCCTTTCTCACTCTATACCCTATACACACTACGGCTAGTACTTCTAGTAGTGTATTACTCACAATATTATTCATTTTCATCGTACATGTATTTCTATGAGCATGCAGAAAATAGACTACGATATAGTTTCTTTTTTTCAAAGCTCCCCATCTGAAGCTTCATACTTCAATTGCACTGTGTGCCTTTTTTGCTGTTATTATCGCCATATCCTAGTCATTGTAAGGTTTAAAGCGGGACTGCATTTGTAGCTACTTGCGCCCTCTATACAGCCAACAATATCAAAGCGGTATCTGTTGGTCCCCCATGGTCCCCTTTTTCTTATTTTAATTGAGAGCTGATGTGATGAGATAACCACCTGTCAGTGACCACGGTGGGAGGTCTAATCCCTCCTGGCCAAACTAGCGCTGATAGGCTTTAAATCTTTGTGCCTTTGTGTGAATTGGATTAGCTCCTCTTGAGGCCATCCTAAGAAAAGTTTCATAAGCGATTCAGGGCTGTAAAGTAGTATTGATTTCAGTATTAATACTAAAAATTGATAGGTTTACTTGTATGATTTCATGCCAAATATCAAGTGTAAGTTGTTAAGTTCTTCATTAAAAAAACAAAATTACTGGGTACATTCAGATGTGTTTTGTAAACATGGATTGTTAATTTTTTTGTTTTTTTGTTTATTTGTTTTTTTTAAATGGATTGTCAATTTAATATGGGCTCTTCAAAAGGTACATTAAAAACAAATCATATACATTTTTTAATTACAATTCAAGAGAAAATTATGACTTTTTTTTTTAATGTCAATTTAGTTTGTCGCTACTCTGCATTTTTCTATTTTGCATGCATGCTCTATGTCCTTCTAGGAAGAAATTAATGGCTTGGAAGTGTAGACATATGTACCTTTTATAAATTTTGAATTAAATTAATGTATTTCTTAATTGCCATTGAACATTTCTCCTATCCTGCTCTAGTTTGGCTGGACCCACATAGCCCTACTGATCGTGGTCACTCAGTCCAACCTCATTGTCCAGACGCTCTTTGACGGCATGATATGGTTCCTCCTCTCAACCACCTGCGTCATCTGCAATGACATCATGGCATACATGTTTGGTAAGTCCTCAGGATTCTTGGTACAGTCAAACCTGCTTTAGTGACCACCTGTATAGAAAGACCACCTGTAAAGAAAGACCACCTTTCAATAAAGACAACATTTTTAATTTCCCTTGAACATGGTTTCTCATTGAAGTTGTCCTAAAGGAACCTGTACATAAAGTCCACTTGCCTATAAAGATCACTTCTCTTGTCTCCTTTGAGCTGTATTTATATACAGGTTTCACTGTATAATAATTTGTTACTTTTAACTAGATGAAATTGACCAATCACCCAGAATTGTTTCGCTCTCTTGGCCTATAATAATATTAGGCCCTTGTATAGCGCATATATCACTATACAACGTCACTATACACTTCCAAAGAGCTTTGGAAATTATTACCCTAGCTTTAGCTCGGGCAGCCGTAATCAGCACACAGTGCATTTTAAGGAATAATCCGACCAGGTACCCATTTACCTCACCTAGGCTGAGTGTGGCAAATGTAGATTCATATCTTGCCAAAGGGCACTTGAACTGCTGACCTTGTGATCCACAGTTCAGTGACATATCCAATGTGACAAAGTGCATACAGACTACTTAATAGTAATATCATATAATCTGGATTTATATAGTGCCTTATACGAAATACTGTCTCTATTTAAAGCCCTTAACAGATAATATTATCCTAGTCATCGGATTCCTTCACGCACAATGTGCACCATCTCCACTCCCTGGAGAGTATTCCTACCATTCGGTCACTGTGAAGGCATATGGAATTTACTAACACATGATGTCTTGCACTCTCTCAGTAATCTTTGCAATGTTGAATTCTCTCTCTCCCTCTGGTCTTGCAGGTTTCTTTTTTGGGAGGACATCACTGATCAAGCTTTCACCTAAGAAGACATGGGAAGGTTTCATTGGTGCCCTCTTCTCCACCGTTATCTACAGCTTCTTTGTGAGTACATCTGTGCATCATAAATGATACATATATAAGATCTATGTTTGAAAGAAAATGAAGAAGTCCTATGCTAATCATCTAAACCTACAGAAAAACAATTCTATGAAAGCCACCCTAGTAAAATTCTGTTTTGTTTTGTCTTAGTATTATTTTATTTTGCAAAGAAAATATATAACAAAAAGGAAAAGGTATATAATGCAACCACCTCGATGCCACTCATAAAAACCCCACATGACAGTGAAATATATCAGTACAGATTTCTTCATTTTTACCTTGGATTATACGGTAACTGGAAATATAAAAAGTTCTTTGTAATGGCCATCAAAGGTAGATTGTGATTTTTCAGAGTTAAATTCATGAGCAATAATTTACATTTGTTCTTCATTTTCTCCTATTTTTTTTTATACATGCAATAGATTTATACCTTTTCCGTTGTGAGCTCTTAGTTTTATCCAGTTTTAACTGGTATGTACAATGTCAGGGTTAGGCAAGTTAAAAGGCAAAAGAACATCCAAGATTGTGTTAGTTCAATTGTTAAAAAAAAAAATTGTGGACAAAATATTTTCAACATGCACGCACTAACCTGTTGAAAAACCTACAAGTTTACCACGTTGAAAGGGAATTAGAATCAAATGAATAAATCAATAATCCAGGACTCTACTATTATATTTGTATTCTTTGTGTATTTAATATGCAGATAATTTTATGTACACCCTATTGCAGATGCTTGTCTTTATTTAATTTTCTTTTCTTTTCTCCCTGTTCGCAAAATCTTTGTGTTTAGTTGACGAGATTTCTCGCACAGTTCCAGTTCTTCACTTGCCCAGCAGAGGTAAGCTTGTGTAATTATGTGCCTGAGTGTGTATGAGAGGGGTGGCAGGGGATGTAAATGTTACTTCCCCTTTTCTCCACCTCAATATTCCAATATTAAAGGCATCGTTTAACAATGTAAAATCTGAGATGCATGGCCCTACGTGTTGAAATTTCGATTTCCAATCATAAATATCTTGATAATAAGATACCAGTAGGCGATCGGCTTGTACTGTACAAGTCACAGGGTTCCTGACTGACTTAAAGGTTTTTGCCGCATTTATTTATGTGTACATGAATGGCATCTGAAATGACCCATATGTTACCTACTCTGTACGATATCTACAATTCTATTTTTTCCTGCTAACTGGATTAATATCCCCAGACCAAATATATTAAGGAAAATTACAATTTCAATGTCATTTGTTCTTCAGTTTCCATCATTCTTGGTACCTTTGGGGGCAGCATCAGAGTCTTTAGGAACGCATAGGGAAAGCCCAAAGTATTTTCTTAAAAAGGCTACATTCATCATGTTTTGAAATCTATTACAAGATTATTTACAAATTATTGCACTTGATGGAATTTGAGATAAAAGACAACCAATAAAACTTGCCCATGCACAGATGAGTTTATTTGAACGAAGACATCCCCTTCGAAAACATTTTTTATGCCTCCGCCACCGAAGGTGGTGCCGGAGGCATCATGTTTTCGGGTTGTCCGTCCGTACGTCCGTACGTCCGTCCCGTTTGACCGTTATCACAATATCTCAAGAACCATTTAAGATTTAAACTTAAGACTCGGGAATAGTATTTATCACCATAGGAAGACGATCTGATTAGATTTTGGAGTACGTAGGTCAAAGGTCACAGGTCACAGAGGTCAACTTATGAAATTCCTTGTATTGACTTTGTTAGCGCGATATCTCAAGAACCATTTGAGATTTAAACTTCAAACTTAAGGATAGTATGTATCACCATAGGAAGACGATCTGATTAGATTTTGGAGCACGTATGTCAAAGGTCAAGGGTCACAGAGGTCAACTTATGAAATTCCATACATTGAGATTGTTATCATGATATCTCAAGAACCACTGGAGATTTAAACTCCAAACTTGTTTAAATTGCTCTATGGCGGAGGCATCATTTTCGACTGCGCGCAGTCAAAATTCCATCTAGTTTTAATTTCATCATGATGTTATTTTCCACTAATCTCAATGTATAATCTTTGCTAGTATGATGAAGACAGCATGGTGTTTAGAATGGAGTGTGAGCCGAGCGCTACGTATCAAGTCCGAGAGTACATCCTGCCAGGATTCATGCAGGCTCTTCTGGGATATGTAAGTCATTTTTGCCATTTTTATTCTTTGTTCCTTTATTTGAAAAGGCCTCATTTCTTTCTACTCCACCATACAATACAGAGCTACGTGCACATCCACCATTCACTACACACTTTCTTCTTTTTTTCAATAGTTTTTTTTATTGATTCCAAACAATACAAATCAGTCTTAGAAATAAAATACAATTGTTTTTCCTTGACATGAATTCAAAACATTATCATTACATAGATTGTACGATTGATGAAAACAATAATAGAAATCAGTTGTAACATAAAACAAATAACCCCATCCAACCAAACACACTACTACCCCCCTCCCCACCACATTTCCACCACACACTGTTCCTAGCCTCCTCGGAATACCCCAACACACACACAACACGCACGTACACCAACCCACAATACACTCATAAACTCCTACAAAAAGATTGTATGAATACTTTTTTCATTTGAATTTCACCTTAAGAACATTCTTTTGAGGCTGCCGTCCTAGTCAAGTAAGTCCCCCATGATCCCCCTTTTTCTTATGTTAATTGAGGGCTGTTTTGTTCTCAGCCAATCAAATGCCGTGATTTCATAGTAGCTTGTAACAGTAATTGTAATTTGTTATCGATAAAGATTTGTATGAAACAGGTCCCTAAAACGTTGCAGTCTTTTCTTGATGTTTATAAACCCCTAAGATTGTGTTCATTTGTCATGTGTGTAGGGTGGTGTTCATTGGGAGACGGTGAACCTGATGCCGGCCCAGATCCACGCTCTAGTCATCGCTCTCTTTGCTTCTCTGGTCAGCCCATTTGGAGGATTCTTTGCCAGCGGGTTCAAGAGAGCTTTCAAAATCAAGGTGAGATAATAAACTGTCCTATAGTATAGATAATAATCTGCATTTGCCACTCTCCACCCAGATGTAGCAAACGGGTACCCGGTAGATGGAAATTCCTTGAAGGCTTGAGGGCCATATCACGGTAGATCGGCTAAAGCTTAGGTAATATTATGATTGCAGGGCCCTTAGGGAGAACAGTATTAATACTGATGAGGCTACCATGTACCAATTAACCATGTTATTATTAGTATTATTATCATAGACATCCCCTTGAAGTTTATTTACAGACATGTAAAATTCAAAGTTTGCCTTAAACTTATCACTTCTTTTGCAGGGTTTCATTTACTAGTATCAAAAGGGTACTTTAATACTATCCATGCTTGTACACCGCACCAGACCCATTAAATAATACACAATATCCTGTATGGTGAACTGTACATTATGAGGAGAAGAAGATGTTATTCAGGACAAATATCTCATGTGAGAGTGTCGTGGCCAGGTGGTTTAAGATGTTTGACTGGAGATGTGAAGGTTGAGGGTTCGAATCCTGACAGGGCACTAATATCCTTTGGCAAGATATTTACCTGCACTTGCTACTCTCCACCCAGGTGTTGAATGGGTACCCGGTAGGATGCGACCGTCATTGTTGGTCAACAGTTTTTGAGCATCAAGTAACGCCTGGCTAGAATTCTCCCCAGGAAGTGGAGATTGTGCACACATTGTGTGCGGGCAAGCAATGAATCCACTCCCTGGGTAATAGTATATCTGTAAAGTGCTTCGAGACATTGTATTAAGCGCTATATAAGTGGAATATTGTTATTATTATTATGTGACAAGGGCTCCAAATCATCAATTTGTTGGTTATATTTCACGTTTGCAGGATTTTGGAGATGTTTTCCCCGGCCATGGAGGCATCATGGATCGGTTCGACTGCCAGTTCTTAATGGCTTCATTCCTCTATGTCTACATCCAGACTTTCCTCAAGTAAGCATAAAAAGTCCTCTCACTTTAACTTTAGCTGTTAAAGATACAGTTGAGTTCTGGTCATGCGATTGCATTGTGAAACCAAACGGTTTGGAATCGATCAGAAAAGGTTGATCATCTAGCATACAAGTTTTGGTGTGTACTGCAAGGTTCTGGAATCATCAAAATTATAAGAACTTTGGTCCAGTCTTGGTAAAGTTACAAGCACTGTACACAAAAAGATGTGTATGGGACTACACAAATTGTGTCCGGGGTTACCTACCTTGAGTTCCTTATATTTCTATGCTCATTGCTCAGTCAGTACACATTTTCTACCAAAATTCAGTGTAAGTTTTGTTTGATTCTGTGAGAATTCATTTTCTTTTTTGTACCAGAACTCAAGTTTATCTTTAACTCTTTATATGCCACACAAATAATCTCCCTGTGCCTCATTGTATTCATCATGGGATAGATACACTAAAGACTTCAAGATTTTAACTGTGTTCAGTGCAAGATTGATCTATACCGGCGTTTCAAGGGTCATCAAGGGGCGTTGTGGCGTGCGCCTGTTATCCAGCCACCAATGGAAGGTACAAACTGATTCAGCAGAGGACGCAGGTTCGAAACTGAGTCACGTCTTTCGAATGATGACGTTAAAGGTCGTTCTAAGACGTGAATAATCATATCTGATTGATGCACGACTGTAAAAAATCCAATTACACACACACATTATCAAGGCTGAAAATTGATGATTTCGCAAAGCTATTGTGTTCCACAAAGCAATCTTCCATCAATTATTGCTTATTGTTTTGTTCAAATATGCATGTGTGGTAAACAAGCGACCGAGCCATGTGGAAAGGTGAAGAAAGCAATCAAAGTGTTGAGATTTTCCTTACATTCATGCAGCTGAGCCGGTGTAATATTAGAGCACCTAGGGCACCTAGGGCTATAAAAAATATCCAGTATCCAAACAAAACATAACATTAGCCCGAATGACAAAGAACTGGTCGGAATCTAGTTGCAGTGACTGCGATATTAAAAGTTTATAAACCTCTCTTTAGAAATCTAGCCATCTGATTGGTCGAAATTGGAGTCGTGATTTTAGCCATTCCCGTAAAGAAACGAATGATGCCAGTAACGGTTAATAGTTCATGAGTGAGATTCCTGAAAGATTCCGGGTACCGGGGAAATAGTAAAATTTTGATGAGATCCCCATTGGTTTACGTGTTAAAACTTACTTTGTGCGAGCGCGGACACAGTGCTTTTTGTCTGCGATTCCCAAATGATTGTAAAATTCTATCATCTTTCCAGCGAAGATTAACAGACAGTGTCTGATTTTTCTGTGATGTTTTAACCAATCTTTACTCAAGAAAAGGATAAGGTAAGAATTCTAGGTAGATTTTTGTGTCAATTCGGCATATACAAAATATTTACTGCTTTAATATTCGAGGCCTGGTTGTTTCTATACTGGCTGTCGGGGTTCCAGGCGCGCCTCGGATCATGGCAGGATGTAACGTCCCCTTGAGCCTATAGAAACAGTGATGCCTCTCATAGTAGTCAATATACCTATATTATATTATTATTTCATCTCTCCTCCCTTCTGTTGCCTTCCAGAACTGCCAACCCGACAAAGATTACGCATCAGATACTCAACATGGCCCCGGAGCACCAACTCTACATCTTCAACCAATTAAAAGACAGCCTCACCAAAAGTGGAGCCATAGAAGCTTGAATCCCAGTCTCAGACAAGAGAGGGCGCCCTAATCAATAATAGTTTCAGCTAGATCCTTGAGTCACAGTCATTGTATATTTGTATACTATTCAACTCAACACAGTCAGATGGTAATTTTGTATCCATTGTGATATCTGTGTAACCCTTGGTGAAGTCAATTCCGCTTTCCAAAAAGGACACAAAGAATATTCCTTTTCCTTTTGTTTTCCTTCTTTTTTAAAAAGCCCATCTGCACTAGTGTACAGGAGGGATTAGACCACCCTGCAAGGTCACTGGACAGGTGGTTGTCTCATCAACTCAGCTCTCAATTATCATTCAAAAAAGAGGATCATGGGGAACCAATGGTCACCGATGAGGCATTGTTTGTTATATAGAAGGCGCAAGTAGCTACAAGTAGTGCAGTGGGGCTTTAATGGTATCTATGAACCTCATGGACCATTACGCAAGATTGGAAGTTGACCAGAGATGTTTCAAAATTATTGAATCATGATTATTTAGTTTTCAGTGTAAAATTGGGATATGTTTGATAACAGTGGAGCTGTTCATGTTTATTAATTAATTTTAATTAATTTTATCCTTTTGGAAATATTCATGGTTTACTTGCTGTAAAAATAACAAGAGAAGTACATGTATATGTATATACATATGATAAAGTGTTATTTATTGTTTGCACAATTTTATATAGATGTAGACTAATTAGACCTTTCCCAGTGTAAGGTAGAGGTGATGTGTTGACTAAATTTCAGGTAAAATAGAACTATTTTTTTTGTGTTACTGAATGAATTATTGGAGCAGAGTGGAAAGAAGGATGTCTAATAATTGCTGAAAATAGGAAAAAGGTACTACATGTTTAGATAATACTGCAAGTGTGCTGCAAAGTTTATCTTAAAGGGGGTGTAGCATGACAAGACTAAATGTCTTTCCCGTGGCCTGACTCGTGGCCAAACGGGTATAAAGACTACGGACGACACGACCGCAGTATTCACATGCGTGCAATATACGTGAAACGGAAGCGTGAGGAGAACTTTGGTATGTTTCGCGAACGCTAGCACACGCTGACAGTTAATCAAGTCCATTTGTTTAGGTGCAGTTGTCCGAAAGAAGTCGTAGATGGCGTTAACCAGTATTTGCCGTGCTACACCCCCTTTAAGCAGAGTAGAAGTTCTTGGTTCTCAAAATGTAGAATGTTTGGAAAAATGTTAAATTCATGAAGCTTGTTTAAGTTGTGGTATTTGCTTGGAACTTGTCCTGAACCATATTTTTAACAAGATAGAATGCTGCTTTATTAACAAGTGGAGAAAAAAACTGTAAAATGTGTCAAACATTAAACACTATTGACTCATAATTGAATTGAACAGTAAAAGGAAAAAAGGAGCCCATATAAATATTATCTTTGCTGAGAAATCTGCATAGAAATAAGTAGTGATGCTGGCATCATATATCATATATTGAAGAAACATTTATGTATAAAACATGATCTCATCTTGAACATTATATTCAAGTATATGTATAAACTTTAGAAAAAAACAACTATTGTACATTATGATAATGATGATAATAACTTCTTTTATCAGAAAATACATATATATGTAGAGAGTGCCATTAGAGATAATTTGCTGCATACATTGATACCCGCAACCATGCACATGCAATCCTTTCTCCATAATTTACAAATTTTCCTGACAAATCAGATTAATGTAGCACAAATTAGAAGCCAAGAGAGATTGAATGTCATGTAAATCTATTTAGTTGCATTATGTTTTTAATTTTTTAGCTTTCATATATAAATTATTATTTTTACGCTTAAACTCATTGATAATGACATACTCATTGATAATGACTTTGCCAAATTATATATTTTGTACCATTTAATAGATAAATCATGCATTTTTCTCCAGCTTAGATGTCAGTGATAATGTAACAATAATAATCGAGGTTAAAGGTGCTGCACTCGATTTCACCGTATAACAATGTACTTTCCCAATTAACTGTCCAGATTAAAGACTAAGTCCCACGAATGTATTTTTATGTCATTTTTTGTAGGGTAATTTTTATCTTTTTAACCTGTGTAGCATATGAAGTCATTGTGTATGTATATATTGTGAGTTACTGCATGGTAGTGGGGCCAGTATTAAATGTCTATAAAAGGGTATTGTACATATATAAGGGGAAAAAAAGTGAAAGGGTAAATATTCTCAAAAAGAATAAATGCTGACAATACCAAAAAGCAACAACAAAAACATACAGCATATCATTTTCATGTTGCTGTGCATTATATTGTGCGGCTGCGTTATGATTTGCCATACATAGCACTGGCAGATTGATTGGGGGGGAGGGTGGGAGGGTGGGGGGCACAATCAGCACATACCCCCCCCCCCTCCCATCCTCCTTCTAAAAACCAATCATGCAAATTTTAAATGTACGCAAAATAAATGTGCCCCCTTTATATTAAGGAAGACCAAAAATCCAGCTGAAAATTATGATAACCTCTTTTTTTTCCCCCTACTGTTCTGCTTGTCTGTGGTTTTGTAGGAATTGTGCCTGCCCACTTTTTGTATAGACTGAATCTGCCCATGATAAATAGAATGGTATTAAACATTTGTCTACCGGTGTTTTTGCTGCTAGCAAATTTGTGGACATATTAAATGAGATTAACTTCCGTCTTTTCTGTTGTAGATGTAGGTGCACCGTGGCACATTGCTTGTTCATTGTATGAAATCCTGTACTGTAATACAATCTGCAATTGTCATCTAACGTTTCTCATGAATGCTCAGTTTTTAAAACGCTTTGATCAGCTCTGCTTTCTTTATTGGAAAGTGTTCTAAATATCAGTCTTGCTGTGTCCTACCATAGCACATCCTTCTTGTAATAGAATGCAGCTCAGGTAACAGGGCTCAACAGCCAATCAAAATTAAAGGTAAAGACCAGTTATGGTTATGCGATTGCATTGTGAAAGAAACGTTGTGGAATCGATCAGAAAAGGTTGATCATCTAGCATCTAGCATCTGCAAGGTTTTGGAATCATCAAAATAATAAGAAATTTGGCCCATTCTTCGTAATATTACAAGCACTATACACAGAAAGATGTATATGGGACTACCCTATATCTCTCACAGACCATGAGAGAAACAAATTAACCAAATATATGAATTAGTCGGCGGTTTCCCGGCAAATTTTTTATCATCATGTATTAGTCAAAACATATTCTTTCACATGATTGGTAATGAGAGCTTCCATTTCATTTTTTGAAATTGCGGCGTTTCCAATACTGGTCTTTACCTTTAAGGTTTCCATGGTAGGGCAAAGTTACCATCAATGGTAAGTTTGGTGCAACAGGGGGCCTGGGTCATTAAATGCATTTCAAAGAATTCTAGAAGTAAAACTATTTTCTAGAAACTTTTCAAATTCACTTTCAGATATCTTCATGAACATCATAAGAGGCTTTGTATTCCAATGATACGGCATTCTATTTACCTCATAATATTTTGTGCTTTCTTCAAATGGAATTGTTTAATATATCTTACTTTAATATAGTACTATTGTGTTATATTATAATTGTTGAGATAATGATATTAGATGATTGTTATAAGAAGGAAGATTTAAGGTAGTTTTTGATGGAGAATAAGAAGCAGGAAAGAAAAGGTATAAATGGAAGAAGAATAAAAGAATAGAAAAAGGAAGAATAAGATAAAGAAAAGGGAAGAAGAAGGAAGAGGAGCCAATTAGAAGGAAAAGGAGAATAAGTAAAAGAAGAACAAATAAAAACCTTTGTCAAATTGCACCCCGCTTTTCCTTGTGAAATGACATTGTTCTAATACTCCAACTTTGATGAGATTCTCGGCACACTTTACTCTCTCTAGAATATTGAGTCCGGAGTAAGATCAGATCAGATATTAGGGGATTTGAAAATTCTTGTCCGTTTCAAGTGAAATGTTAGGTGCACAGACTTCAGGCCCTTATCATACTCGACCATTAGAATTTGAAAATAAATAAATGTAATCTGGCAATCTTGGGTATGCCGCTTGCATTTGCGAAAACAAATTTCTCTCACGTTTCCAACAATTCAATTGAGATAGTTGCAATAAATCATAACAGTGTGTGTTATACATGCATGTCTTTCCAGTACTTCAATTGAAGCCCCCCTTTTGTTTTTAATAGTGAAGAATTGTTCAAATGTAAGTTTTTCTCTTTACCTGTGGGCACAGACTTCTGTACGTACATACACACACACACACACACACCATACGTTATGGTAGACATCAGATTAATAGGGTACATGTAACGTGCTGCAGCATTATTTTTGGTTAACTTTGTGATGTGGTAATGATTGTTTTTATTGTGCTGTGTTGAGTGTGGCTGTAAGGAATATTGTTTTTATATGACCTGTCTATGAATAATGAGTAGATGAAAGCTTGCCGATTAAAGTTTAAGGTTTGTATAGCTTGAATAACATGTTATGACTCCTTTCATTCAAGCATCTAAGAATTGTTGTCATACTTTGTGAATAGTTGTCATTAATCAAAATATCATCAGTATTTTGATTAATGGTATCATCAACAACTTTTTTTCACATGTTGATAAGGTAGAGATATTGGATTCTTTTTTAAAACAGCCCTTGAATTTACTAGACACCATTGGGCATGGATACTAATATGTTTTGTATTTCCAGTATTTACTTGAGGGTAAGGTGCATACTTGTAATTTGCACAACTCTAAATAATTGTCCACTAATTGAATTGTAAGTACTTATGAATATTACACATTATTACGGGTAAGACGGATCCACCCCTTTAAAAGCTACACATGCATTAACACGCAGGGAACTTTCAAATTTTTCTTTAGCAGTAAGATTAAACACTTTTTTGTATAAATCTGAACCTTTTTGCATAATTTTATTAATGTCATTTTATTTATACACTTACCTGTCTTAAAAATTGTTTTCCAAATGTCAAAGAAATATCACCTTGTATTGAATATACGTGCGGTAAATATGACTAATTACTATAATCATATATATGTTGATTATAATTGTATCATTCATGTAGCAATATAGTGAAAGGTTTGTTGCAGTTGCTGGTGGTTAAGAGTCTTCTTTTCTCTTTTAAAAAAAAATTGATTAAAGGAAAAAACACCTTAAGTAGCAAATTACTCGAAAATAAAGCATTACAAAAATAAAAGAAGCAGAATTGTGGAAGTTTGAACGAAACCGGACATAAAATATGAAAGTTACACTATTTTGATAATTGTAATCTCTATACATCACATACGTCATAACCACTAACCAAATTGCCAATTTGAGATGCACATAGATTTAGTGATGCCATATTTTCAAACAGTGATTACTGTCTTATTATTTGTCTCAATTTATTTCAAACTTTCCTCATAATGTGTTTGCTTTTATTCTGTTTTTATACAATTAAACTCATAACAAAGGTTGGATTACCCTTGAATGCATTGTTTTCCCTATGCATGGTGTGAAGGGATATTTATTTAATTTTTATTGCTTCATTCAAATTGAACCTTGTCTTTTGTATGCACCCAATATTCATTGCATGAATATGCCTTGTAGTTTGTACAAGTCTGTATGACCATTGTTGTATCATGAAAAAATTGTGTTGATAGGAATAATCTTGGATGTGTGGATAAATTTGTTATATTTATTTGTCTTTTAGAAGAAAACGAGTTGTTTACAGGAATCAGTTTCAATGTTAACAGTGTGCAATGTTCAACATAGCATAGCCAGAGATTTGCATTGTATAAAGTTGTATTAAAAAGAGACAAACATTATTATCTAAAATGGGTAGAAAATAAATCAAATTTTGTGTCCGGTGTGTTTTAATTGTTGTCACAGCTTATATGTATTCAATTTAATTCTTTGTTTAAGACATGAAAAACATTTGAATGACATAAATATAATATATATATTTATATATATATATATACAGTTAACAACTAAATTATTCATACCCCTTTGTTTTTTGTTTTCGTTTTTCATAACAAAAGAAATAAAGGTGGACTGGTTGAATATGGGCATTTGCTGAATACTTTTATACGTAAGCTTTAAAGACACTATGTCCCTTTTGCAGCCAACCTCAAATTCTGTAGAACTTTGCAGGAATTATGAATATGTCATGTATGTCCTATCTGTGAAATGTAAACGTTAGCAGTGTCCTAATATTCAAATTATACAAGGAAACCCGTCTACTTGCTAGACTTCTCTGTCAGACACTATTGAGTGACTGACTGGCTTTTTTTCTTCTTTGGTAATAACATACATGAAAAGAGTTGTAAAGGGTACATGAGCATTTTTCTACATCAATAACCCACATCTTGTGATGGCCAAGATTAAACTGATTGAATCTTTGCGCAGCATAAAACGTACTCCATGCGGTACAATGGTCTGAAAATCAAGACTATTACTTATTGGCTCTATAGCTTCTAAGTCGATTTGAGAACTAATAGTCGTTATTTTCCCACTTAAAGACATTTTCAAGCCCCATTTTTTAAGGGAGTTCTAAATTAGTATTATCTTTCAAATGCCATTGGAATTTAACCTTTTCATTTTTTGGGTCCTGCAAAAGGGACATAGTACCTTTGATATGTCACATAATAAAGAAGTATAATTGGGACAAATCAATTTTTCACATACTTAAAATATCGGTAAGGGTATGAATAATTTAGTTATTAACTGTATATATGTATAAATCATAAATCACAGAACTAGATTGGGCACAACTGTTTAAAAAAAAAATCGGTTTTGTAAAGACAGCTTCCCTGATAAAATTTGGATTTGGTAAAAATAAATGGCGGGAAACAAATATCAGGTAAAATATAGCAAACAGAACAATTTAAGAAATAGCATTTTGTTCCACACAACCCAGAATACAACATGATATGGCAGGAAAGAAGTTAGTTGGAATTATTTCCACAACGCTTGAGAAGCATATGAAAATATTACCATAATCTATTATTGGGAAGGAGGGGGGATGCCCCCATCAAAATTATAAAAAGAAACGTTCGGTTCAGAATTTCAGAGCCTTAATGAAAAAAAGAAAGGTATATGATGAAATGATCACTACGGTTCCGAATGGCCGATTATGTCAGACCAACAGTTTTTAGACATTCCGTTCCGTTGGGGGGGGGGGGGGGGGGGGGGGGGTAAGGTTATCTTTATTAGGTCATCTATAAGGATTTTTTTTTTTTTTTTAATTTTTTATTAAAAAGAAAGAAAGAAAAAAAAAACACTCAAAGGCGGGGGGGAGGAGGGGGGTTTCCCTAAAAACATACACAAAATATACACTTTACACTTTTTCTACAGCTGTAGTGAAATCCTCGCTTTACTCTCACACCATGTAGCTTATTACCATGGTGCGATATGACACGCACGTGATACAGTACCAGCACATATTTCAAAACCGACAAGAATAACAAAAATTATATATCCGAATCAACGTCGTTCTAGTGGTGTGGAGGGTATAATACGAAAAGGTGTTGTACAGTCATGTAGGTTGTGTTTTAATTTATAGGTCTAGGTCACGAATTAGCTTAGTATAAGGCTTCTCAATATGTTTGTGTTTTCATGGCTGCTGCAACAAATATGTTTATATTTAGAAGTAAACAAAACTATCTATCATCTTAAATGGAAATGGCCACATAATTCAGGTTGTGTTTTAATGTATAGGTCTAGGTCATGAATTAGCTTAGTACAGGCTTCTCAATATGTTTGTGTTTTCATGGCTGCTGCAACAAATTATGTTTACTTTTAGAAGTAAACAAAACTCTCTATCATCTTAAATGGAAATACACAAAGCAGGTGTACTTGTTTCAGAGCACCGTACTGCAACAATAAAATGGCGTAGCAAGCGGGGCACAGGACCCCTTATATTATTGGTGCCCATACGATTTTCTAGTTCTTTTTGAAAAATCGGCGGAAATAAATAAGATCATGTTCATTTTTTCAGTAACACTTTGGCGTTATATCTATAAGGTATGAGATTTAATGGAATACGGTCAACTACAACATATATCAGAGTGATTTTTCCCCTCGCTCGGTATCTACGCTATCTCAAATAATATTTAAGCATAATGATAAGATCCACCACAAGATTATCCCTGTGAAAGGGCTGTGATTCCCATTGATCCTGAATTTGTTTTGGCTCCGTTGCTGCGACTAGACAAAATAATGTTATTCACGTTTCATGAGGACTGTGACCCCATGTGACATGTGCCCCCCCCCCCCCCTCAAAGACAAAAATCCTGGCTATGCCACTGCAAACATCCAATATAAGCATACGCCTACATGGCATATAGAAAGTTATGCAATTTTTTTTTTAATAGGGGACGTACTACCCCAACCCTACGCTGTATTGTGAGGGCAACGCAGCTGTGCATGTTTAATTTTGACTTCAAAGTGGTTTGTTTTTATTATTCATGACTTACAAGCATATACCGGTATAGTATGGTGTGGTTTTATAGACCTGTACATTACAACTATTACACCATCATGGATTCGGATGCGTCTATCAATCTACAACGTCTGCCCGACATGGCAACACAAGTCCTCGACGACATGGTCAAGTACTTGCTGTCTACCTCGGGCCTGGTAGTGTTCGTCGTCATTTTCGTCGTCTACTGCGTCTGTTGTCATCGTCGGGATGGTAGAGATCAACGCGATGTCAACCCTGTGCCTTATGACTGCCTGTATATCGGTAAGGGCGTTATGCATTGTTGACCTGCAATCTAATACCATACCATCAAATTGCATGAATAGTATCTGGTGCTGAATAATGCTTGATCCTATATGCATACACTAAGGTGGACTGTTATTGATATATTTGAAAACATACCTCTACAATTCTTCTTACATTCTTGATACACTAAGGGAGAGTGCCTAGTATCCTCTGGAAAAGGTCCTATATAAATACAATTAGTAGTAGTAGTAGTAGTAGTAGTAGTAGTAGTAGTAGTAGTAGTAGAAGGAGAAGAAGAAGAAGAAGAAGTAGTAGTAGTAGTAGTAGTAGTAGTAGTAGTAGTAGTAGTAGTAGAAGAAGAAGAAGAAGTAGTAGTAGTAGTAGTAGTAGTAGTAGTAGTAGGAGAAGAAGAAGAAGAAGAAGTAGTAGAAGTAGAAGAAGTAGTAGTAGTAGTAGTAGTAGTAGTAGTAGAAGAAGTAGTAGTAGTAGTAGTAGTAGTAGTAGTAGTAGTAGTAGTAGTAGTAGAAGTAGTAGTAGTAGTAGTAGTAGTAGTAGTAGTAGTAGTAGTAGTTGTTGTAACAGTAGTATAGTAGTAGTATATCTTTTTATAATATTGGTAATCTTTATAACGCATAATATCCACCAAAGGTGCTGAAGCGCTCCAATATTACACCGATTCTGCTTTTAAAAACAGATAAATGATCTAAAAACATATTAAGCTCTATACATGTAATACAATATTGCAATATGCAACAGTATTTTGTTGAAAAAGCTCCACATACGTACTACTTTCTTTTGTATTTCGTTTTATTGATTTCCACAAAAACGACATTTTTGCCATTTTTGTGTATTAACTGTCAACAATCGTATTTATTGAGGACGTGTTTGGTGTGTTTACATCGAGTTTTAAAGATAACTTATAAGTAAAACCTCTAATCACCAATAAATTTGTTGTCAACAATGGATAATTAAAATACCTTCAAGTTGATATCAATTTCATCGAGTTATGTAGTATGTGAAATATAAATTTTGAGCCCAAAAGAGGCTTTTGTGTAGATATTTTTTCCTTCTAATTTTGGCCAGTATCTCGGTATTATCAACTGGACAAAAGTGATTGGACATTTAGTAGTGGAGAGAGCTTCAAAGGATTTGGAGTGCTGAATGCAATTGATAGGAACTTCTTATGTACTCTGTGATGTTTCAGGAAATATGGGCATTGGCAGTTGCCTCCTCCTCCCCCCCCCCCCCCCCAATACACAAACAGACACACACTATCAACTTTTATTTGGCCCCCCTCCATCTGACCGCTTAGTAAAATCTTGTCAAGACAAATATTTCAACATAATAAAAGAAAGATAACCACACAAAAAATTCCGCTTGTCATTTAGCTGGTATAATATAGACAGCCCACGAGACCAGCAATGTAGGTCCAGTGTCTCAGTGTTTTACCCCTAGATTTTTTTAATGTATTTTTTTCATTATTCACCTTGGATTCGCCTAAGCAGAAAGTAGGGACATGATGAAAATACCTTAACTCGCCCACCTTTCTAAATTTGAACGAGTTCCAATCACACTAACACAACTTCACCATCAAATGAATCTCGTATATGCCATTTCAATGAGGTAAAATTAAATAGAAAAAATGGATTCCTATCCACTATGTCTTAAAGCAACTAAAACTATTACAACTTTGTCGAAAGATCGAATAACCAGATAACAAAAGGACTACAACATCTAGGCAGGCCTCTTTATTTTTCTACATCATGTCTTTGGCACAAAACTTATTTGATGTTTCCAGGGGCAGACTGGGACTGAAAATTGGTTTTAAAAGTTTTATGCCACTAGCCCACTATATAAAAGATTCAGTTATATAAGATGCATATATTAAGTGGCCTTCAGGGCAAATATCGACTGGACCTTGATCCGGCCAAAGATAAAGAGCTGCTCGTGGGGAAAATTCCCAAACTCCCCACGCTGAATCTGCCCCTGGATATTTCCTTAGGATATGTGTGTCTTGTTTTCTACCAAAAATGACACATAATTTAATAAAAACCGCAGCGACTTTTTACGGCGGTTTACCGCACTATAACTGAACAAGGCTTTAGGGAGGTTGGGGAGGGGAAGCGATGTGGAAAACATAACATATTGGATTCATTTAATCTACTGTTGTGTCTTCTCTCGATTCACTAGATACCACGTTGCGCCACGCAATGTCATTGATCACATGGTACTGCAGAGTACGGGTGAGGCGCCGCAAGATGGATCTCGAGCACACTACGCTTCTCAATGAGATACAAGCCTTGTGTCAGTCGACCGCATCTCAAAGCCATCACCATCCAACCCTGATCAGCGCATCGGTCAACACCAGTCTGGACTTGTTCTTCCGGGTCCAGAAGTACCCACCGGGGTCAGAGGTCATTGTCACTGCAATCAACACGCGCGACACCATCCAGGTACTGCTTCACCACGGACTTCAGGTGGTTCCTTTGGATGTCACCCGGGAGCAGCTCTCACCGGAACTGGAAACCCTGAGGCTTCTTCTCAATGAAAACACTGTGGCTATCGTGGTGTCGCATTTGTTCGGACGGGTGTGCGACCTGTCAGCGGTCACGGAAATCGCGCACGAGCATGGCGTTCACGTCCTTGAAGACTGTTCTTTGGCGTGCTTGGCGCCAGCGCATTCCATAAACCCAGAATCGGATCTTGTATTCTTCAACTTTGGTGTCATCTACCCATGCACTGCATTCGGTGGATCTATCACCAGGATCAAAGACAAATATCTCCGAGAGAAAATGGAAGAACTACAAAAGACGTATCCTCAAGGATCTGAAGTGGAGTATATCCGCAAGGCTTTTAAATGCACGTTGACTGCAAAGGCTCTACAGTGCCCTTTCTTATTGAAACTATCCTCTGGGTTGGCCAAGCTTGTTCGTATCAATCTCAAGGAGGTTATCAATGCGTATTTAACAGCGCCCCCTGCGGCTGGTCTAGTGCGTCAGCTTCGTGAGAGACCTTCGACGACAATGACATTCATGCTACATCGAAGGTGAAGATACATATTCTTAACAGTTCCTTTCTGATATACAATATATTTTGGGCTCAATTCACTTCAATTTTCAGTAAATGTAGATGTAATGCTTAATTTTAATCAATTTCAGTATTGTGACCCAAGGAAATACAAAGTCATGAGAAAATGTGTTTTTCCACTAAAGACCCTACTTGGCATCATTTTGTGAGCACGGTCGATATAGGGACACATAAGCTCCACGGGTGTTGAAGCAATAGGGAAAATCATCATACTTAGCATTATTAGCATATCGATCTCATTTGTAGCTCATTGAGACAAACTAATGACAACATTCTCTTCTTAGCATTTTGTCTGATAATATTTATTTTAAAATTATCCTATCGCCACAACGCATGGCACATCTGGTGTATGAGCGCCATCTGTCCATAGTGCTGGGACAATAGCGACAGAATGCTATTTTGGGCCATAGTGAAATGTGGATACTGATTGTGACTCTGACGGTATCGTCATACGTCACACATGCAACGTCTATTAATTAACCGTACAAATCATCTTGAGTAATACGGGAGTTTACAGATAGCACATGGTACAAATGATCCCAAATATTCACAGATCTTTTACACATGGAGAAGTTCCACTTTGAGCATATTAGAACAATAACTGCCAAAGTCCTAGATATGCTTCATGAATACCTTTTGTTTGCCCTCTTGAAAAGAATAATTCCACCTGCGTATCATAGAATGTACCGTTGGTGCATAAATGAATAATGTTTCATAACTTTCATGAGCGCATATCTAGTATTCATCTCTGTGGGTTTTACCTTTTTGGGACAAATGACCTTTATTTGCCCATGCGCAGATTGTATCTGTAAACTCCCTTATTGGTAACGTGACTTCCTTCTTGTAATTATCTATCATCAGATTGAAACACGTTGACCCGAAGGATTTGGAGAGATCTAGAGATGTCGGGGACTACGTATCGGATAGGCTCCCGCAGGTAGCAGGCCAGATTGGCACCTATGCTCTGATCCGCGGCTACTGGCTCTTTCCCATCCTCGTCGTGAGTTCTGCTTCTTTTCCTATGCCATTCGTTCCTAGTTTTCTTTTTGGCTAATGATAACATCATCCCTGATAGTAAATATAACATATATCTCAATTGTTACTTGTCAAACTATTTGTCCCTCCATGACAACTTTTCTTTCTCGCTATTTTTTTCTACAAAACTGAACTATGTACAGATCAGCTAAAAGGTAATGAATCAACATGATCCAGCCATTGCCATTAGGCCTATAATAAGAAGCTTCTTTTTATTTAGCATTAATTACACAAAATTGTGTTTTTTGGAGTTCTTGTTTTTACCTGACTGCTAAGAAAGCATAAATGCTTGTGAGTAAGCAACCAGAGAACCGGCGGCCTTAGGGCCTCTCCGAGAGACCTGGTAATGAGGATGAATGCCTTACCAAAGCGCACTAGCGCATCGACTTGGTTTCGAACCCGGGTCGCCGGATTACGAGACCATTGAATTCTGTACATAACTTGTTAAATACTTTTGCTTCTTGTCAAGCTGCTCACTTTGCATAAGTCACTGATATTCTTTTTTTTTACCATCATTTTCTTAGGATAATCCCGAAGAAGTGTATCAGCGCCTCAATGGGCTAGGTATTGGTGCTTCGAGAAGCCTCGCTCAGATCGAGCTCGTCACCTCCACACGTCCCACCGATACGCATGCGACAACGGCTCTAGTCGGCATCGACGAGACCCGATGTCGACCGACCACGGCATCGTTCATCATGGACCATATCATCTACCTTCCCGTTCACCGAGGCGTCCCGAGACACCATCTCGATCAGATCTGCTTGGCTGTCGAAATCGTCCTCAACAAACTCGCCATCCTTGCACGCTATCACGCCAGCGTCGGTGCGAGGCAGAAGGAAACTCATCCTGGTCCGTACGGTCCGATGACCTCTCGACGGAACAAGGAGTCGTCACGGAGACGTACTGTGTCTGTAAATCGTAACATTACTACTAAAACCCAGCAGGTAACCGCCACCAACGTCAATAAAAACGATTCATCGTAATATTATTCTAATCGTATGGGCCTAAGTGTAGATTTATTTATTTATTTATTTCTGATATTTAGGAAGGGTCATTCAATATCACCAATAATGGTGGTCTTCGGTACGACCATGCACAGAAACATAAATTACAGGAGCTTAAAAGTGCCAGCGAGATGACGAGATGATTAAGACAAAGAGACGAGAAATGAGTTAAAAGACTAAAAAACAAATTGACGGAACTCGGCAAGTCGACTTGTCTCGGAAGATAAGACGGGTTGTTGGAACTCGACAACTCGATATTTTAAAACTAGATGACGAGTTGTTGGAACTCGGCAAGTCGAGTTGTTTAGCATGTTTAGGGGACGAAAAGACGAGATGATCGGCAAGTTCACTTAGGTAAGACGAAAAGAAGAGATGACGAGTTGATGGAACTCGGCCAATCGTCTTGTTTAGGTCGAGAAGGCGACATAACGGATTGTTGGAACTTAGCCAGTCGACTTATTTAGCATGTTCAGGACGAGAAGACGAGATGGTGGATTACTGGAAGTCGGCAGGTTGTGATTTGTAATTCAGAGCATTCTGGATATTAAAAAAAAACATATAAAGGCCTACATATAAAACGTCACCAAAAGATGATACTAAACAACAACTCGTCATCTCGTTTTCTCGTCCTAAACAATTACACCTTACGAACGCATTACGAACGCCATGAGTCGTTCGTTCGAAGGCCATGCAAATTTATATTCATATCGTCATCTCGTCGGCACTTTTAAGTTGCCGTACATACAGGCATATAGGTCGCACAATGATTGACACGTGAGTATGCGGTGGTCACATCCCGCCGTACTTGCAAGTGCGTGCTGTCTACGTGCAAAAACGTGGGCAAAATGTGGGTATCCGTACGTGATGAGTACCGCCTCCGTACGGATTTGGGAGCACGCAGACACACCGTAGCACTTTTAGTGCACCAGGAACTTTCGCTGCGTTCGGGCTGCGTTCGGGCTACCGATTCACCCCAGTGCGTGTGACGTGCGTGCCCGGTACTGCCGATGAGCGCACAACGCATTGACTCCGTGCTTCTTTTAAAGGCGCACGTGATAAGTGCGTGGTCCGTGCTTACTCGCCACTTCCCCAGTTCAGCTATCCAATGAGCACGCGGAACTCACGTGGACAGTACCGAGTAAGCACTTACAACGCACGTTGTTCGCACTGATTTATGCAGTATATAGTCTCTTCGGTGGAATGGGCGGCATCTTGAGGCAGCAACAGCTGGGACTTCTGGAGAACATCGGAATGTCGTCCTATATAGGCCGAGTTCATCGCACGTGCAGGCACTTACAACATGCGAGTGAGTAAGGACACCGTACGTGAGCAGCACTTGTAAGTACGGCCTCCGTACGATAACGTGGCAACCGCACGGAGACCGTACGTTGTAAGCACGTTGTAAGCACGTACAACGCACTTACCACGTGCGCAACGTACGATGCACGCAACCGTTCACGGCCAGGCGTGGCGTGCGGGCCACATACTTACACAGTGCGTGTGACGCGCGTTGCCGGTACTCCCTCACTGCCTTTGCCACTCCCTCCCTACGTTTTCAGAAAAACGTGGCGGCCGTGGCCTCCCCAAAAACCGTACGGACTAAAAACACGCACGGTGGGATGTGACCAACGCTTTATTGTAAGAGGGGGTAATAAATTATGTCTTGAGTGCGACGCGCATATTAAAGATAAAGACGTGGTACCTATGGGACTTTGGGTGAATTTTGAGTAATGATAAGTATAAAACTAAGCGATGTTACGATCCAATCACAACTTTGGGGAACAAAATCACAAAAAGCAGTAAAACTCTTCAAGAAACCTACCACATTCGCGATATGATATAAGGTATCCTAACAATAAAATAAATAATAAGATTGTACCGGATGTCAAAATGATGCAGAAACTGCATCAGCTAATTTTGTCCACAGACTTGGCGGTGGTTGGCGGTGGTTGTTATTTTACCTGACTGCTAAGAAAAATGCTTGTAAGTAAGCAACCAGACGGCCGACGGCTTTAGGTCCTCTCCGAGGGACAAATGAGGATTAATGAGGATTAATGCCTTACCAAAGGGCACTGGCGCATCGCCTTGGTTTCGAACCCGGGTCACCGGATTACGAGACCACTGCTCTACCGACTGACCTATCGCGCCTCCTCAATTTGTGCATAATCATTCACAATAAATGATGTCGTTCTCCTATTATAGTTTAATGTGAAACGATACTAATGACTTGCACAAACCTATATCAACTGAAAAACTTCCATTGCAGTATTAATTTGCCGGAATCTTACCCTTCGAGGAGCTTTGATGTGAACCTGAAGATCTGTGATGAAGCGTCCGTTGACGAATTATGGGCAATATTACATAGAAATAAATATGTTGCACCTATTAGACTGCTAATAATTGAGAGGCTGGTCTAGGATCGTCTCAATTAGGGTGTTAGGTGAAACGTTTGAAAACTCGAAGATCCATGATCCCTGGAAAACCTCAGTGTATATTGTAACAATTCTGTTATCATTTGTTTAGTTTTACACAAATTGTTATTTTTTTTAATGTGTGAGCACCGAGTAGGAAAGGGGGAGGGGTACGTACCCCTTGTTCACGTACCACAGTCTTTTGTGTAACACTTGTCAATCGATATATATGTTGCTATAAATTATAATTCAAATTCAAATACCAAGTTATGTACATTTATTCATCTTGGTTCAAATTGCTTCCTGACTTCGTTGGAGAATTAGTGCCTAAGTTTGACACATTTAGATGCTTGCATGTGTGAGTACGTTTACAGGCGGTGGAAAGGAGATATTTGCTAATCGGTTTCGCATGCTAAAAATGTTGATAAATGTATCACCTCTTTTTCTCATTTCGTATCGTTACATACATTTAAGAAATATGGATACATGCACGAATCGATCTCATAAAATGTGTTTCTGGTGTTTAAAAAAAAGAAAATTGATGAAAATAAATGTAAACCTATCATTTTAACGTCTAAATTATTAATTCCCGTGTCTAAGTCTCTCTTTCTACCGGGCATGCAGGGGAGGGAATGGTGTCTGTTTTTCTTTACTTCTAATTTATGTCACATCGCAATCAATCGCTTTATTTTGCCATATTTTGCCAATTGCATGCTTTTTATTAATTATAGGAATGCTTAGCAATACTACTTCAGACCAGTGTTTTTTTTTTGTCCGTCAAGCTAATATTATTTCATCAATGGCAAACTTGACATTTATGCACATCGACTAATAATAATAAGAGACGAAATATGGACCATAGGGTTTGAAATAAAACTCTTCGTTGGCGCGTTGTTTGATTCGCTATATCGACATGAGATTGAGAATGATAAGAGAATCTGATGTAAAGAAAGACGCATGATTTATAAAGAGGCAAGGTAGATGAGTCGGTAAAAGCGTGTGCCTGTCGAACCAATGATCGTGGGTTCGAATCCAACCCAGGCGGATGTCTGAAGCCTGCGTTGTGTGTTAATATGCCCCTTCCCTGTTTCATAGAAGCAGACTAGGTTACAGTGGAACACACCTAGTCCCTCGGATAGGAATTTAAATGTAGGACCCGTGTAGAGGAGAGTCACTACCTTTACATGTCAAGAGCCCACTCCACTGTTCGTATAAGTGTCGGGGGAACCCCGGTATAGTGGTCTACATGTACCTGCATATCCCACACAGCTATACTTGAAGAAGAGATAGAAACCCCCTCTCAGACACAGTGACGCCAATATTTGATAATGATAATGAAACCATGAAATGATTACATAGTTGATTGTTATTCTTTATTCATTGAAACATATGAGTGCATTGGGAGTGAAATTGGGAACACACACCCATATCAACACACACACGCGCGTACTCACACTAAATGATTTCTATATAAGTCAATGATGAAAAGATAATACTAAGTTGTGTTCAAGGTACGTTCAGCAAAGGTAATATGAAGCAAAATTAGTCGAAAAAGTTATGCACAAGCATACCCTTCTACCCATGAAAAAATGAACGAAATAAGTCACTGAAAATTGATAAATAACACAGTAGCATGATAACGCCCACACAGAAGCATGAAACAGAATTAAAGAAGATAACACTACACGATTAAAAAACATTATAAGATTTAAACATTGAACTAATCTCAAACACCACAACCTGATAGAAATAATAGGAATACTGATTTAACCAATATTTTCTACTATATTGCATTAGAGTGCCAGATTCCCCTAAATGGACACGTAAATGAAAGAAAGAAATAACAAGAAGAAAAAAAGTAATCGTACTTTTTTCAGGTTGATGATGAACTCTGCATGTCCGTTGGTGCTTACATATATTGAAACAAATAAATATATACATGTCTCATGTCTCTATAATATGTCTCATCCAGAAAATGAAGAAAAAATAATGAAGATGATAATGATGATGATAATAATAATGATGATAACAATACTAGTGGGTTCTTGTATAGCGCTTATGTCTGACGTTCCACTGTTTTAGTATGGCTGCCATTATGGCGCTCTAGCATTTATAGAAACAAATGCCTACTGAGAACCCACTTTCTCCACCTGGATTAAGAGTGGCAAATGCAGATTACTGTGTTGCCAAAGGACCTCAGTGTCATGACAGGGATTTGAACCACATACGACGTGCTTCATAGTCCGATGACTTATCCACTAGACCAAGATACTTCCATATTAGATTAGAATTTGAAGAGTTTAAAAAGGTCCTGTCGAAATCTTTTGTTTAAGAGACCATAGACAACTGGGTTGATGACGTGGTTAATGGACAACAAGTCCCGAAGAAAAGAAAGGACTATATCCGAAACAATGTGTTTATCCATGGCGCTCGATATCACTTCCCGAAGAAACATACTTGCCAGAGCCTCTGGGAGCAAAGTGAGAAAGTAAATAACTGTCACTGCTAACATCATCTTTGTCGTCTTATCGAGTGGCGTTTTCTTGTATGAAACAATGCCAGATGCCACTGGTTCATCCACCATACCAGCATTGGACAAGTGAGAAGTGGGCAAGAGGGCGCTGTTGTTTGGCACATTACTGGTAGTGTTGTCCAACCATGCTAGTCTGTGTACAGCCACCGCTGGGCCTATTGGTCCTTGGACTAATGCACGTTGACGATTAGCTAAATGTACATACCCGGATACAGATGGTACTGATGTTGAAGCACCGTACCTAGATGTTCTTAGGTTGGTGTTGGCCTCAGTCATGTCATTAGCAGATGGAGCCACATGAGACGCACGGGCTAACACCATAGGACACACTGGATCTGGTCTGCGAGAAGCAAACAGGTTGGCCTGAACCCTCGTGTGAATCTTCACGCTTCTGTAGATCATCCCATATGTAGCGAACGCAGTAACGAATGACACTAGATACATTACACCTGTGATAATCCCTTGAAACTGACCGTCAGAGTTCTGCGAACAAACCACCTCACCGGTGTCCAGTCGTTGTAAAGAAAGAAAAAAGAGAAAAGAAATGTTCGAGGCAAAAGAAACCACGATGCAGAAAGCAATGGTGATTTTCGCTCGCCGACGATTGATCTTTGGTCGTGTGTAATGGCAAACCTTGATGTAGCGGTCGATTCCGATCACCACCATAATCAGAAGAGACAGATTCCACAACGAGGTGTAAACAAAGACAAAAATCTTGCAGAAGATAATACTGGTATATCGGCCTTGAGAGCGCTTGTGATAGATCATGGCGGGACTCAACAAGCAAATTGCCAAGTCTACGACCGCCATGGCGATTATGTACAGACGGGTACTCCCTCCAGTCCTGCGCTTCCTGTACACCATGATGATGCAGAGATTGCCAGGAATACCGGCGACAAGGAGAAAGATGCGATCAATTACTTCTACCCAAACACCAGCCCTCATATTTGAAGAAACTGAGTGTTTTTGAAATATCCTTAAATATAGCAATAAATATCCTCATAGGGGATCAATTGGCGAGAAGTCTTATATTTGTTCTGTTTTATCCACGACCTCTTACAAAAGATCCTCCCTTTGGGGTCTCACGAACGATGAAAAATACAACTGCGATTTGCACCTGAGTTTGCAGTTATGGCTGCTAAACGACAGCAGAGTAAATGTGGTGGATCCAGTGATTGATATTGGCGGCAGGGGGGGGGGTGGACACTTCCAAAACGAGCTGGGATATAACTGAGTTCCGTGAGCACGGTTCATACTTTTCTTCTTGGCCTTCAAAAGGCGATTGATAGGGGACTGCGCTGTGACACCATCAGACGCGGTTCTTAGGGACGTTGCAGTCATTTTACTACATGTGCCTCGCGTAGATTATTTTTTGTTTGTTAGGGGGTGAGTTCCCCCCAAGCACCCTCTAGAACCGCTAATAGACAGAATATTATGACTACGTCATTGGAAAATTATACAAGCCATTGTCGTGGATTCGTACTTGGCATGAACAGTGGGAATATGATTAAACATCCAAATGAGAATCTCTTTTATTTCTACCAGCCTTCAAAGAGTAAATGCAATTACCCATTCGAAGATAAGTTTATGGCTTGACAGTTGTATAAATACATGTCATTGAAATGCTTATGATAGAGAAAAGAAAGGAAGTAGAATAGAGAAGCTTAAGTTTGCAAATATCAAATAGCCTATCAAGTATCAAAGCCTTTTCAAATCGTAATGAATGGAATTGAAATATACCGCACACGCGCCTTTAATTGCATCTTTTGAATGACCTTCCAAGCTATAGAGAGCATTTACCCCATACTTTTTCAGGTTTTGTTATAATAGTAATTCATATTGATGTTATATTTTCCAAGCTCTGTACTGTGATGGACATATTGATCAAGAACGAGATTGAGAGAGAGGAAGAGAGAGAGAGACTGAGAGAGCGAGAGATGGGTGGTGTAGAAATAGGGAGAGGGAGAGATAGAGCGTGGAAGAAAGAGAGAGCAGAGAGAGAGAGAAAAAGAAATAAATAAAGAGAGAGAGAGAGAGAGAGAGAAAAAGAAATAAATAAAGAGAGAGAGAGAGAGAAAGAAATAAATAAAGAGAGAGAGAGATATATAAGGGGGAGGAAGAGAATAAAAGAGAAAGCAATGGTCAGAGTCTTACGATATATTCGCTCAAGGACGCAAATTTGTTTAATAGTGGTTTTTATATAATACATGCAATATATTACACCTTTATAACAAGGATATTGAATAGTTAAAGAAACTAAAGTTTAAACTACTATCAAAACCACTTTTGTTTGTTAGTTTGTTTATTCCTGAAGTATATTACATACATTTTCACCACATGGCACATCTATCTCCTATCATGCGCAGTAAAACAATAGACAATTACAAAGAACAAGCTGTTAATTAACAAATTATTACGAGACTCAATTTTACAGAGAATAATTCCAGATTCCAATGATAAAAATGCTGTCTATATAAAGGAGTTATTTATTGAAGATCTGATAAAACTCCTTTTACATGAATATAATGGTTGGAGGTGTCGTGGACGAGTGGATAAGTCACCGGACTGTGGATTACAAGGTCCTCGGTTCACCGCGGCACTAATGTCCTTTGTCAAGGACATTTGCCACTCTCCACCGAGGTGTTAAATGGGGTACCCGGTAGCTTAATGTGCTTAGATTAGCAAGTGTGCGCTTGTAAAAATGACGCCTGGCTGGAATGCTCCTCAGGGAGTGGAGAATGTGCATACATTGCGGTCCGGGTGAGCCTGAATCCGATGACCGGTGTAATTATATATAATCTGTTAAGCGCTTTGAGAGGGCCTTGTCCTGAAAAGCGCTTTATAATAACTAGCTATTATTATTATCATTATGGTGAGTTTTGACAGCTTCCTGATGTAATTGATCAGATTTGTTTCCAGGAGAGGATATACTTTGGGGGCTGATTACGCATTGTTCTCCAGATTTGCAACAATAATATTTTTTCTTTAATGCTGCATTGTTGAAATAATATGCAACTTGCAACTTTTAAATTTAAAAAATACAATAATTTTGAATCTCTCAACGTGTTGCCCTATCTCTATCTCTCTCTCTCATCATCATCATCATCATTATCCTCTCTCTCTCTCTCTTTCTCTCTCTCTCTCTCTCTTCCTCATCTCTTTCTCTCTCTCTCTCTCTCTCTCTCCCTCATCTCTTTCTCTCTCTCTCTCTCTCCCTCATCTCTTTCTCTCTCTCATCTCTCTCTCTCTTTCTCTCCCTATCTCTCTGAAGTCTCATGTTCTGCAATGAGAATATAAAATTGAGGGGGTGTTGGGCGTTAAGAGGTGGGGCGGTGTTTGCTACCTACCGGGGTTTTCGTGGGAAGGAACTATCTCAAGTCAAGCGGGAAGTTGAAAAGTAGAAAAGTTGAAAAGAAATAATATTCAGGTAATAGGTTTGCAAAGTTTGGGGTAGGCGCTAGCTGATGTTGTTCAGGGGAGCTAGAAATCGTAACGCCAATCCATCCATGTTGTCTATACATGCTTTCTTCACTGATTGTAAACAAAATATATATTTTGATTTATGCATAGAGGACATCCACAAAATGACAGAAACGTGACCACACCAGTTAATGACAGAAGCACATGCAGATGTCGGTTATCATGAGGATACCAATTAATATGTATGATAACTGTTTGTATGCTTGTGTATTTATCTATAATGTTTTTGCTGCTGTTATTTGTTTTATTCTTACCAAACAGGACCTTGTGAAAGACCACCAAATTAGTGATATGTGCCACCCTGTATAAATATTAGAAATAAATAAATGAATAAATAAATGAATAATAAAGTGGAACAAAATAAAGTCTGAAGGAAACTTAATTAAACACTACAGAACTTTAAAACCAAACTCTTCATGAAATAAGGTAAACACAATCTTTACAGAGATTCCATTCAATTTAATTTTCCATTTAAACCAATTTGAACAAACGTGTAAATTAACAGTAATAATATCGAAATATAAAATTGCGGGGTAGGGTTACTCTTAAAAGCGAAATGCTCGTGATAGGGTCCTTTTATTTACAAAATGATGATCGAAAACAACATTCATAAAGGGTTGTTGTCGCTTTTTGAATTAAGGCACTGGTGGTGGTGGTGGTGAATAAAACACTTCTGTTCCTCGTGCTCTCATCGTGTCGTCTCACGTCTTATTGGATCCACCTCCAATCTGGCTGCAAGAACATCCTGGAAATAATAAAGATGATTATAAAATGAATTAAACAAATAATAATGAATAATTAAATAATATGATAATAATCCTAATTATAATAATAAAAGTAATAAAAATAATAATATTCCGTGTTTATGTAGCGCTCAATACATCGATCCATCGATATGCCTGAGCGCTATTACCCCGGTCATCGGATTCAGGTTTACCCGCACACAATATATGCACATTTTCCACTCCCAGGGGACCATTCCAGCCAGTCGCCATTTTACAACCGCACACTTGCTCGTCCAACCATATGAACGTTCGCATCCTACTGGGTACCCATTTAACACCTGGGTGGAGAGTAGCAAGTGCATGCAGGTAAATATCTTGCCAAAGGATAGTAGTGCCGTGTCTCCAGTCAATCATAGTAATAGTAATACAAATATTAATGATAAGAATAAGTATAACAATGATAATAATAATACTAATGATAATGAAAATTATGATAATAATAATGATGGTAATAATAATGATAGTAATAATAAGAAGAAAAAAACATTTGTTTATACAGGGAACCCTCATCAACATCAATCCTGTCTTCCTGAGGAAACTGCACTTATCATTAACCTAACAATTGCTACGTGTATATACCCAATAACAAATGCATATGCAAATGTGAAGTGATGTTTTGCCAAAGGACATTAGTACCGGGCTGGGATTCGAACCCTCAACCCTAGGGTTGACATTCAAGTGAACAAACCACTATACACGACACCTCCACATCAAATGTGCCGACACCACACCAACTCAAGACAGAAGCACTAATTACATTACTGCAAATGGCATGGAGTTGGTTCACGGTGGAGACGCTCTGACGGTTTGACTGAGGTATAAGTAGATCAATTTTGCATTTAAGTAAGATAAAACTTTAGTTTGATGAATATTCCGCTAGAAGAAAAAAAATGTAAGCACAGTATTGTGAGTATCCGGCTTTTTTATCGACAGAAATAAAAAAGAAAGATTCTTCAATAACCTGAAGGCCTATTTTTCTATTGATTGATTTTTAATCTATTTTTGTGGGTCTTATTTACCCTGGGTAGTCAATTTAGTCATATTAGTATTAAACACTACACTTCGTGAAAGCCTGGAGATTATCATTACCACTCCATGGACAGGTATCATTTCATGCACCTGGATGGAAAGTGGCAAATATGGCAAAAACACCTTGTCCAAGAATGTAAACACCAAGCAAATATCGAACCCAGGACTTCTCGCATGAGAGTCGAAACCCTCCACCAATATACCACCACTGCTTCCACAAGATCTTTACTCACCAATTTGGTTATTAGATTCCGATGATACTTGATGCCCCCCTCTCGATCAACTTTCTCCATATGCTGTCTTGCACGGTCTCCTGCAACTAGTACTTCCGTTTCCCCATTTGCCTGTGGAGGAATTTGAGGGAAAAAAGTGCGATCGCAAAATCTTTCGAAAAGATCAACTGAAGGCAAAATCAATACCCCTGTCTAAAAATTCACTAATTTTGCACTGTGCTAAAGCCAAAAACAATAATGCCAACTACTTTATCACTATAGATTGATATTTCTCCACTACCCATCTGCATATCACTGCTTATATCCACACACAAAAAAAACATCATTTTATTTTCTTATGTATTTTATTGTTTTGTATTTCTTATTACATCTAATGTTTGATTTCTAATGTATTTTTTTGTTCTAGGATACATCAAGT